TTATTATTATTATTATTATTATTATTATTATTATTATTATTATTATTTAAATGAATTATTCTTGCTGGGGATATTTAAAAAGAAATATGGGACAAATATAAAATATATAGTATTACATATTTTAACAGCAGCTAGAATTGCCTATACCCAGTGTTGGAAGCATAAAAGTATACAACCAGATGAACTGATTATCCAGAAAATAATGGCTTGTGCCAAGATGGATAAATTAATTCTGATGTTGCAAGAGAAAGAGGTGTCCGAGTATTATAGGACTTGGAAAAATGGTATGATTGGATTGAACTAAGATAGATGGATGATGAAAGAATTAATGATAAGCAACATATAGATTAAATGTTTACATTTTCATAAATTGTGTATATTTGTAAATAATGCATGAATTAGAAATATAGAGATGAATGCCACAAACTGTCAATGTCAAGATATTTACACTTTTTGTTTGTTTTTTAAAAATATAAAAGATTAATAAAGTTTATTTTAAAAAATGTACCAGGGAAGTTTATCTGTCTAAAATAATATATTTGCCTTTTGCAATCTTAGGGAACAAATATCTTCATCTTCTCTTCATGTTACAGATTTTGAAAGATCATGGACAAAATTTTCTGGTTGGTAACCAGTTCAGTTGGGCAGATGTTCATCTCTTGGAAGCTATCTTAATGCTTGAAGAATTCAAGTCTGATGTTCTCACTAAATTCCCACTGCTGCAGGTAAGGACACTGTTAAAACTGTTGGGAATTGGCAAGCCATGTGACTGCAGCAGAAGGCAATCTGTATTTTCACAGAGTGTAGAGAGACTAGATGGTCAGGCACTGATGGAGACTACTTGAAAAGAACCACTGCAGCTACCAGCATGCCATGATGATGATGATGGCTTTGACATCTGCAATCTCATGTAGTGAATGAGTATGAAGTTCTATCTCTTTGCTGACAGCTGAAAGTAGATTCTGTGTAACATGTGAAAATAATTTCACTTTGGGAAATTGCCTTTGACATGCCAGATCTGTTTCTAAATAAATCAATTGGAGAGAAAATGTCTCAGAGTGATTGATATCATGGATACTTTCTGGATGCCTTACATTTGCTTTATATGGATGACGTACTGGTAGTCCTCAACTTATGACCAGAACCGAGCCCAAAATTCATGTGGTTGAGAATTTTTAAAGTGAGGTTTGCCCCATTTTGTGACATTTCTCGCCACGGTTGTTAAGGGAATCACTGCGGTTGATAAGTTAGTAACCTGGTTGTTAAATGAAACTGGCTTCCCCATTGACTTTGCTCATCAGAAAGTTGCAAAAAGTGATCACGTGATCCCAGATTACCCTGCAATGGTCCTAAGTATGAACCAGTTGCCAAGAATCTGAATTTTGCTCACAGAATCATGGGGATGCAAAGGTTGCAATTGTGAAAAAAGGGTCATAAGTCACTTTTTTCAGTGCTGTTGTAACTTTGAATGGTCACTAAATGAACTTTTGTAAGTTGAGGACTACATGTATAGCCCTTTTGAAACCTAGGTATTTCTAATCACTGCCCATGCTGATACATGGCACACACTTGGAAAAAACCCAACACCTTTTCCGTGTGCAATCAGGATTTTGAATGTCAATTTCATGAGGACCTAGCACTTAAGTGTACTTTCTTGTTCTTCCTTAAATGTGCATATTACCTGATTCACCAGACTCTGCACTGGTAGATCTCCCCAGTCTAGCTCCAGAAGAATCTTGTGGCTCTTTTCATCAATACTATCTCTAGTTGATGTTTCTTTGAAGTTGATTATTGGGTATAGATCAAAAAGATCCAATAAGGCAAAATTCCTTTTAAAAATCTCACCCACTCACTGCACACATCATGAAGCTTCACAGCGCTTTGATACTTTGCCAGATTCTTCCTTTGTAGTTTAGCATGGATTGCAGTTTGGACCTGTACAGATTGCTCAATACTTACGCACTATTTCCAATTGTTGCTCAACCATCAGGTGATTGGATGGGCAAAAAGGAGCGTAGGGGGAAGACTAGAGGAGTGAAGGAGAGAGGGAAAAAAAGAAATAGATTTGTAGTAACCCCCCCACTCCCCAATGATTTCTTGGCCTTTTAAATATTGGAAAGATTTGGGAGTCTTCCACCAAGAACATCTGAGATAGATTACAAAGCAAGTTTGGAGAACCACAAGCCTACATATTATCTGTCTTACATGATTCTTAGTCAATATAAACTTGCTTAATTAATGAGGCATGAGCATTATTTGAAGAATCTTGTTTCTGCAGAGGAATTATATGAACACCAATAACCTATGAATTTCATTGTATAGATTTGAAGGACAAGGGAAAAGGAAAATCTCACCTCACAATAGTTCTGCAATAACAACCAGTTCCTCAAGCTTTCACGGAGTGTGTGTTCCTCTGCTAATTTCCATTTACTTTTCAGAAGAATATTTTGAATTAAGATTTCTGGCCTCGCCCCACTGGTCATGTTTTCTCACAGTACTTTGTAATATTAGCATTTAAAAATTTTAGTACTTCAACTTTTTGAATTAGCCTTACATTTTCATTTTGCACCTAGAAATAGATAGCATTTTCAGGCGGTAAACTCGTATCTTACTTTTCATTGTTTCTTAAGAGGATTTTTCTCTCTTTTTCCTAGGCTTTCAAAACAAGAATAAGCAACATTCCTACAATAAAAAAATTCTTGCAGCCTGGAAGTCAAAGGAAACCTCCGCCGGATGACAACCTGCTGGCACAAATAAAAAAAATAATGAATTTATAAAGGGTTTTTTTCCAAATACTGCATATTTCTACTAACAAATGTCCCTCCCGCCGCCCCATTATATTGCTGATTTTAACTGACCCTATTATTAGAAAGATAAACTAAGTACAATTGCAATTCTTTTTAGTTTTATCATCACAATCCTTTGGAAACAGTGAAAAAAATCAGTAATTTAGATGAAAAATATTTTTGAAGGTTTTGTATCTAAAATTAATGTGTTATAATGCCCCCCCCATGATTTTATGATGTTATTTCAGTTATACCTTAAAAGAAACTCAGTGATTCCTTACATGTAATGTCATTAACTTCTGTCTCTATAGAAATTATTGTATAGTAATAACTTAAGAAAAATAAGTCAATAAATTTCTCTTTTGTTACCATGTAAAATGTAATTCTGCGCAAGTCTATACAGAAGTTAATCCTTTCAATTGACAGCAATGCCTTCTAGTCTACAGACATTTCTCTAACAACGAAATCTTCAAACTGCAAACTTTTGCTGATGTGAACAAGCCAGCCCACACCTGGGAGTTGGAAAGTGGACATGTTTGTTTTGGCAAAACACACGTGGCACACTGGAAACCCCTCCCCCTCCTGACCCCTTGGACCTTCTAGGATGGAGCTGAGGACAGACACAGCACAGTTCTCACCCCACATAAATGGTAGCATTGCAGAAGAATCTGATTTGGGCAGCATTGACGTGTCAACTCATAAAACATTCCTATGCTTGTTTCTTTTGAAGCTTGGCTCGAGGCTCATGAATTAATTAGGGCAATCCCCAGAATCCTGACACAAAGGGGAAAAGAGGAAAGGGCCAGCTTCTAGTGTGCCACATACATGAAGAGCCCTGATGGCACAGTGGTTAGAATGCAGTATTGCTGGCTCATTCAGCCCACCACCAGGAGTTCGATTCTGACTAGCTCAAGGTTGATTCTATCTTCCATCCTTCCGAGGTCTGTAAAATGAGGAGCCAGGTTGTTGGGGGCAATATGCTGGCTCTGTAAAACTGCTTGGAGAGTGCTGTAAAGCACTATGGAGTGGTATATATGTCTTAGTGCTATTGCTATACATGAGGCAAGCCAGAAACCAATTCCCTCCCAGGTCTCCTACTTTGCCTCCATGGCCACTCTGGTCACCACCCAAAGCCCCAGACTGCTATCCATGCAAGGCAAGATCTGTAATTCACATGCTGGCTGGATTTGTAAACTAAATAGACTTACAAGCAACCTTTTGGGACACAAGTAGAGTAATATCTGTATTTGTTGGTATCCTTCAACCATCTGTCAACTCTGTATATAGTTCACTAATGTACAGTATTTATACTAGTCATAGCAGGTAGCAGCATCTTGATGACTTTGGCTGATCTTGCAAAAAAGGCTTAAAACCAGTTAATGTGGTTAATTTAGATGGGAATCCACCAGGAAATATTAGGGTTCTCAAGAGTCTGGGAAGTTAAAAGGAAAAGGCAATCATAAACCCCTTCATCATTTAAGTGTTACAAGAAAAGTACATGGATGTGTTCATATATTCACCAAGAGTCTACCTCAAGTTGAAGGAGTCATTGTTCTTATTTATGCTTAGATGTTGACCAAACTAATTTTGTTCTGTAATTTATGACATATGTTCAAACCAATGTAAGCATAATTAGTATTTCCCTCAAATATAGCCTTGACCAGTGGTGGGATTCAATTTTTTTTACAACTGGATCTGTGGGCATGGCTTGGTGGGCTTGGTGGGTGTGGCAGGGGAAGAATACTGCAAAATCTCCATTTCCTCCCCACCCCACTAACTTGCTTTCCAGCTCTGTTCTCCTGTGCAGGGCAACAAAAGAAGACCCAACCAATCAGCTGGGACTAGGAGGCAGAGAATAGATGGGGGCGGGGCCAGTGAGAGGTGGTATTTGCCAGTTCTCCGAATTATTCAAAATTTCCACTACCAGTTCTCCAGAACTGGTCAGAACTTGCTGAATACCACCTCTGGCCTTGACTGACAAGTTAAAATGGTCTAACTCTAACAAAATTGCTGAATTTTGAGCACTGATTTAAAATAAGTTGGTTGGTATCTACAAAAGTAATATATCTACATCAGCAGTAGGAGGATTCCCTGTAGTAGCTCCCTTGGCCATAAACACTGTTTTGATAAAAACAATAGATGAACAACCACTCCATTTTTGGGGATTCCTGCTACACAAACCTTTGCCTTGGTCAGGTAAAGAGAAGAATATATATACTGGTCAGAACCTGCTGAATACCACGTCTGGCCATATGTGTGTGTGTGCGCGCATATGTATATACACACACACATACTGCATATATGTCCCACCGTACCATAATTTAGCATTTTTTCCAGTCAATCTCCTCATTCAAATCACTTTAAGAAATATTGAAAATCAACTTACAAGAGAGTTTGTATCCAAAATATTAAAGTTTTTTATTTTTAATATGATATTTGTTTGCATTTTGACATAAGCCATACCTTTTGGAACTGATTTTTTTTAGCATTCTAAGAAATTAATACAGCATTCATTAATATTTTAATGGAACTGAAATACAATATTTAATTATTTATGAAACTCTACATGCACACCCAACTCACTCGCAGTGACTCTGGGTGGCTTAGAAAGATAAAAACCCAATATAATACATATACATAAATTTGTATTATTCCACATCTTGATCTATGAAATTATCATCCAGGACTGGGAATGACTTTATTAGATCCCACCATTTATGACGAACCTGAGTTTTCAAAGTCCTTGTGACTTCTATTCATTCCAGGGAGAATAAAGCATAAATTGAAACTTTATCTCCAAAATTAAAATAATAATTAGAAGTCCAAGTTAGTCATTGGTCTGAAAAAACATAAATCAACAAAATGTTAGTTAAAACATTAAAGAATGCAACCCCACATACATAAGGAATAAATGGATTTCTGAGTCCATAAGGAATAACACTGCCTCTATGTCATCGTAATTACAACAGAAATGGCCGATCTTTCAGAAGGGACATCCGTAATTCAATGCGTACTTTGTCTGATTGTGTGGAAATCTGGAAGTGCCTCTTCTCTCATATGAGCCGGAAGACAAGTCTCACAACCATCACCAGGCTGTATTAAAAAAAAGAAAGAAAAGAAAATTAAGAAATGAGCGATCAGTTAAGACATGAACAATTTTATATTTTTATATTCAGAGTTCTATACAGAGAGAGAGAGAGAGACTGCTCTGAATAGAGAGCTTCAACAGGAATGGGGACCTGTGTGAAATTTCATCCTCAAAAACGGTTGGAAGTTGCACACCTCTACTGCAGATATGCCTTAAAACACGCTTCCCCACTTGGTGCAATTCACATACGTTGGGCCCCAACCACTATAATCTAAGTTTGCATGGATTCTGCCTGGGACTGATGGCACCTGAAGTCCTTGATTTTGAATACCTGAAAGCAAATCCTCAACTCTTAAGGGTAATGTCCTTATGTAAGTAGTTCCTTTTGAAGTCAGGAGAATGGATTCCACAATCAACCAACCAACCTCCCCCCCTTCTCTCTCTTTCTACACACACACACACATCCCTATTTCAGTGAAACTGTACAATCATAGAATATTCTAGAATGTAAATTCAGAAATAGCTGGATGACAAATGTCCAGTCATCTATAAACTGATTCTATGTTAATCGGTCCCATTTACATCCAGGAACTCTTTTACAGCATTTAAAAATCACACACCGTGCAATCGTACACAACTGTAATCACAAGTATGACACACTGTAGTCACTGGGGGCTAGTTAAGTAAGCTTTGGACTGTGTCTTAAAGCAGAAACGGTTTACCTGAGACCTGCTATAATTCCAGCTGGCATTAGTTTCTTGGTCCTCTTAAACCTCACTCCCATTATAGTGGTAAGTATAAAAGCTGTGACTGCAGGCAAAAGTACAGAATGTTTATTTTAGCAAATGTTATGCTCTGTTTTAACTACATATTATTATAATTATTTATGGCAACAAATTAAAATTATTCCAAATTAAGTAGACAGCTACTGAAACAAAAAAAAATATCATTCAAATGTCCTCATATTTTTTTAAAAAGGTTTTGTCTACATCATCACCATCTTATAATTAGAAATCTTTATACTGAGGTCAAGACAAATTGTGTCTTTGTGCCTATTCTGAACCTCTTATCTTTCCATCTCAGTAATAGTGATCTCTAGAGTTCTTTTTCCATAACTATTTTCCTAACTGTGTCTCATAAAATTTCACTAATGAAACAAGAAATAGCTCATGTACCTTTCAAAGAATGTGTTTTGATTCAATTAAAGCATCTTGTTGTGTGATCCAGACAGGTTTTGGCCAAGTTATGTGCAAATTTGGACGTCAATTAAATGGGAACCCATTGTCTCATGTGAACCCACAAAGTGCACAACTTAGTTTCCAACCCGGGAGCCTTCAGAAATGTGCATCTATAAATTCCATCATCCCAGCTAATCTAGCCAATAACAAGGCTTGAGAACGATAAAGCATTTAATTCCACGTTTTACAAAGTTTGCTCCATCCACGTGATGGAAAAATTCTCAGTGTCCCAATACATGCAGGCTTGCACAAATAAACCAATTATTATTTCTTCATCCTTAAGAAACAAGAATCAACCATACTCACACTTCAAAACTAAATTTATTTATTTGTTGTAATGTTTACACTAACCATCTCACCAGAGAGAGTGAATTTGGGTGGTTTACAACAACAAAAGAAAAAAGATTTCTTTAATTTATTTATTCAATTTCTATAGCTTCTCATCTCAGGCAAGCGACTCTGGTATCAATACATGACTAAAAGCGCAGTTAAAAACAGAATTAAGGACATGGTTAAAATGTATAAGTTAAAAATGGAATCAAAGTTTTTTTAAAAAATTCAGAAGACTAACAAGTTAACAAGGCAGGGCGAGTGCCCTCAAGTCTCAAGGTTTGCGTCATGGCCTTGCCTACACTAAATGCAATACCAATGCAATCTATAGACAGCATAAGCTTTTTACTTTGCATGTTCTGTTCTTACAAATAGTGCATATGACAGCAATTAGTTTGCAGTTTCCAATTATTCCGATAACTCCAATATATAATGAAAGTACATTTAAAACTCCTTCTGCTTCCCGCCCGCCCCTCCAATTGCTTGTATGGGAATTATTCTCTATACTATTCATGTTGTATTGTATTTTCTGCTATGGATTGCACCAGTATAGGCTAAGCCAATTTTGTTGTGTACAAGATGTACAAGGACAATAAAGGCTATTACTACTATTACTATTAAAGAGATGTACTCTCTCTTTTAAAGAAGTAGGATACTCACATAATGATACCTTTACATCTTTGGGATCGTGCGTTACCCAATATGCTCCATAACAAGCCAGCAAGCCAAAGAAAAGGCCAGCAACCAATGAGATTTTACTTCCTGCAATAAATAAATAAAAAGTCTTACTGTACTCTTTAAGAATATGTACTTCAGTTTTTGAAAGACATGTCTTTGATTTTTGGAACCCGAAAAATGTATTTAATTATTGGACATATTTCGACCCTGTTCTTCTGCAGACAGATAATAAGAGCAAAAAGGGCCAATAAATAATGCCAAGTGACTAAATCTGACAAAGAATCTTTTTCTGAAAAAGTTACACAGAAACAAGAGTTTCATTACTTATACATGAATGGCTATGACCCAAGAATAACATGGCATATATAGGGGGGAGGGAGGAAGAGCAAGAGAGGGAGGGAGGGAGAAGGAAGGGTGAGGGAGAAGGAAAAAGTGAGGGAGGGGGAGGGAGAGAGGGAGAGGGAGCGGGAGAGAGAAAGGAAGAGAGAGAGAAATGTGCAGGCTCTTGAAATCTCTGGCTGTGCCAATTGTTGCCAGTGCAGCATTAGCAGCTGTTTTGAACAATACCCCAATTTATGGGGGGGGGGGGGATCCAAAAGTGTGCAGTCCAAAGCTGAACAAGGGATAAATTCATTCGGAAGCTTCTGTGCCCTTGTATCCCAGTCATTTTTTTTTTCTGCATTCTTTTGTTACAACAGAGTGACTTGATAGTCCTGTGTTCACACTGGTGGTTCAACAGGAGTGACCAATCTAAACTATTTACTGACCTTGGCAGAAATGGTGTATTCAGGTTTCCTGGGATTTTCAGGATTTTTTTCTGAACCCATTAGTAACTCTTGGGTAGTTAAGTTGCAATGATAGCAACCACTCTATGTGTAGTAACTATCCTACTACAGCAGAGAAATGATCCCAAAAAGCTTTGCGCAAATGCAATTATGAACTAAATTGCTAGTTAATGATTCCTTAAGATTCTTCAGAACAGTATCTGATCAGGAGGCTGCGTGGACTGCTCCCACTCTGTTCCAAAATTCTACTATTCTTTGATATCTGCTCCACAGGAATTCAAGCAGAATATTTTTAGGGTTACAAAAGAATAGAATAGAGTATTCTTTACTGGCAAGTGTAATTGGACAGCCAAGAAATTTGTCTCCAGTGCAGAAGCTCTCAGTGTATATACGAACAACGAAGTTCTATAATCATAAGCACCAATAGTAGAATGTAAAAGGAAATATGGGAAGGATAACAGTAATACAGCTCTACTACATGGGAAAACATCTATAAAAGACAGTGTTGTGGGAATTAAGTGTTTGGCAGCGGTAGAGCATATGTGCACCATGCAGCCAAACTAATATGGACATGGCATTTCTGTAATCTAATATTGCATGCCACGTTTTTCTCCCACTATGTCTTTCTGTTTCTTTCCAAATGCATTCCAATTCTGCTGACAGAGCCACTCTGTCAGTGAGAGGAACGAATTTCATACTATTAGTTTTCAATGGAAAAATAACACAGTTGCACCAAGAACATATTAAAATATGATGAATTGTATGCTTTGGGATAGGGAACATTTTAGAAATTGGTGTTAAATACATTTTTCTTTTTTGCAGAGAGAGAAAGAGAAAAGGGAATCTACGTCTCCTCACCTGGCCTTTAACATTCCAGAAACAGATTTCTAAAACAATGTTTTATTCTCCCAGGGAAGAAGATCATCATCATCCAAATTATTCCCTCGTTTTCCCCTTACTGGTCACCACCATTAAGAGATTTCAACCTACGATTGGTTCCAAAGTAGCTGCTCACCTGTTGGGCCTTGCTACCAGTCAATTGGGAGCAGGGGCCAGAGGGAGGCAGGAAAAAGAGTGAGGGTACCTGTTTTCCCTTGTGTCATGCAGCCTACCATTTACTGGGAAACATAGCTGGAAGCAGTCACAACTTTGGCAAATTTCAATCCCATGGAACGCATGGATTCCCAAGTTTTAACATATTCTGTAAATTAGCCGATTTGAGATACGTTGATTCAAAAATTGTTGCTCCGCAATGAAGATTACAAAGTGTCACAGACACAAGAGGTTTCGTGGTAGAAAAGGTTTAGTTTAATCTACCGTAATATCTTAAGCTTTTTACAGGTATTCTTCTTATGAGCTGGGACATATTGCAAAACAACGCGCAACTTAACAAAAATGTTTGAGAAAATGCAGAAGAAACAGCAGAAACATGACATCATTTTCTCCATTGTACAAGTCCACCATTACCTTTGCGAATATATCCTACGATACCGCCAAGAGCTACGACCAATCCATAACCAAAGCCAATCCAATCCACACTCATGGTGAAAAGTCTGGAGAACAGAACAGAACAGCAAAATGAACAAGCTAAAACTAGTCACATAATGGCAGACTTAGGAGGAGGGAGGAGAGGATGATTGGGTCACAGCAAGAAGCAACCTGTAATTAACCATGGCTATCTCAGAAAAGTCAGAACTAATATGTTTAGTATTTCCTAAGGCTGGTTGGATTTCTTTAAAAAAAGAATAGAATAGAATAGAATAGAATAGAATAGAATAGAATAGAATACTTTATTGGCCAAGTGTGATTGGACACACAAGGAATTTGACTTGGTGCAAATGCTCTCATTGTACATAAAAGAGAAGATACATTTGTCAAGAGTCAAGAATCATCAAGATAGAGCAGGAAAAAGGTGATGAGAATTCACATTGTTACCAACAAAACAATGTGAATGTGGCAATATAATTACCAGGAATCAAACTCAACAGGAGGGAAACCAGAGAAAGATTTTAGGAATGCCTTAACAATCATCCAACAGTAAAAGTGAAACCAGATCTTCTGAGAAAAACCGACCAGAGTTGTGGGAGGTATTAACTCACTGGTTTGTGTAAGGATTAGAGGACTGTACATAGATAGCCTGTGCCCAATTTTGCAATGAAAGATGGGGCAATCCTTTCCTGGTTTAATGCCAGCTTGAATGCTATGGCTAAACATGTGAAGCTCTCATACCTGTGGCCTCCCAAGCATACCTTTATATCAGACATATCCAACCTTTTGGCTTGCTTGGACCCAGTATTGAGTGAAGAGGAATTGTTTTGAGCCACATAGAAAATATAATGTTCATAAATAACACATTTCCTTTATTTTTTTTGGAGGGGGGGGATGTATTTTGAGGCTGCATGTGGGCCACAGATTGGACATGCCTGCTTTATACCCAAAGGACACTGTATATTCCTGCTGCACTTGGGAGTGCACTCAACCTAGGTCAGGCAAAATTATTATTTGATGCCCAAAGAATTACATAGATTTCTTTTGCCCTTAGTTCCTCAGGACTTATTCCAAATTCCATGTGATTATGTCACAAAGCTGGTGTTGGTACGATTGAATCCAGTATCTGAATATCTATTTGGGATCAAACTGATCTTTTCCCCAGTAGGTCTAATTTCCTAGGTTCCTTCTGATGACTTATTTCTTCTCTTGGATCAAGGCAATACATATAAAATTGGACCCTTTGAGTTTCTCCATATCATTTTCTAAGCTGCCTGAGTCGCTTCAGTAGTGAGATGGACAGCACATTAATTTTATAAAGTTAAATGCACATGTAATTATAGTATACTACAATTAAAGAATGATGTAAAGGTACTGATATTTAAATAGACATGGCATCCCTTTCTCAAGCTAAGTAACCCTTTTCTCTTTGCCATCTGTTTGTTGACTTTTTTTTCACTTTGATTTTTGCATATCTGACTCCAAGCCTTGGAATATATGAGATGCTAGTAGTCTTATAGCTTGCAGGTTTCCACTGTTATATAATGGGAGTGGCCATAGTACAGTCCTCTGCACTTTGCTACCTATGGCAAAATTAATGAGTGCCCTTCAGAGATGGGGTTGGCAAGCTCCTTTCAGAGGTCCCAGAAACACTGATTCTCAATGCCAACATCAGAGGTGGCAAGACCTTCCCTGTTAAGACATAGTGAACAGATGACACTGTAATAAACCAGGAGGTTAACTGAGGTTAACACCTGACAGCTGCCCTATTTTATTTCCCAAAGTATTTACTGCATGGCTAATCCCAATAGCTTCAGTGCTGCAGCACTCAATGTGCTGTGCAAACTCAGTCAATTATTGTTTATTTAATAAGCCATGGTTGAATATTGACTTACTAATTACAAGTTAAGCCCACATACTCTACTTTCTGGGTCTTTGCCATTGCTGCACTGGGCACAAACTAGGCACCTCATATTTCAGGCAACTATATGAGACTGATATACACTGATTGCTTCTTCTACTGTATGGTTTTCTCTTTGGGCAATAACCTTGATGTGAATTTGGCAGCCTCTTTCATGAGGGCTGGATCCTTTTCTTAGCAATGCAGTTGGATTGTTTCTATGGAGCTCCCAAACCCTTATACATAGGCAAGACTTAGCGATGATACTCCCAAAGATCAGGAATGTGGCTTCCAGAGATCAGCAATGATCTACCAACCAAGAGGAACCAGAAAGACCAAATGTATATAGTGCAATGCATGCCCAAGTAATAAGAGTTTAACCAGATGTAAAGTTAACAAGAGGTGTGTCTGTGTATGGACACACACACACACACAGACAAGATGTGTGTGTACACATGCATATAAAACAAATTTATACAGCTGCCCAACTCATAAATGTTTTATACCTGTGTATTTATGTAGGTGTATAGGCACACTTATGTACATACATACATACATATAAAACAAATTTAGAGAGCTACCCAGTGGCTTACACGTTTGTGTCTGTGCTTATGCATGTATTTGTAGTTACATACGTATGTAACACAGACATACATACAGATACATTTATACAGCAGCCTAGGTCCCACGCAGACTCCGGGCGTGCAACAGTCCGTCAATCTTGACTGAACGCGTGCAACTGACTCCCCCACCCCCACCCCGCTTCCAGGCACACTCGAAGCCTCAAGTCAAGACTACAAAACCCATGCTTAATTTTTACACGGAAGCAGCGGGCCAAAAAGTGGCTACATTCCCAGCTCTCGGGATCCTCCCGCAAGCGCCGAGCAAACGGGGACCCCCCAACCCCTTTTCCCACCCTACGTCACTCGAGGCCCTCTGCGTTAATGCGGCAAAGAAAGAGGCGATCAATCGCCGCCGCCGCCGCCACCCTGGGTTGAGCACCGAGGATGCACTTCCCCCCCCCCCCCCCCCCCCCCCCCGGCCTCCGGACTGCACTCCCCCATCCTCCTCCTCCTCCGTCCCTCCCGCATACCTTCGGCTCCGAGACGGGCGAAGGGCGAGGCCGCCCCCTCGCGCTTTAAACCCCTCCTCCGAAGCCGTCCGTCCCTCCGAGTCTCTCGGGTGCCCCCTGCCGCCCAGCGGGAAGCGGCTTCGCTTTTCTTGCCCTTTGGCCTAGTTTTTTTTTTTTTTTTTTAAACTCCGGGCTGGCCCGGTTAAGATAGAGCGAGCCTGCCACCCCGTGGAGGAAGGAAGCTAAGACCACTCGGCCAAGGCTGTAAGAGCAAGGGCAGGCAACGATGGCCGCGTTTACGATCTCTGGTCTTCAACTCCCAGAATTCCTGGCTCAGGATTTCTGGGAGTTGAAGTCCGCAGGTCCTAAAGTAGCCATAGTTGGCCGCCCCTGCTATAAACGGAAGGGATTCCCCTGCCCACCCCCTCTCAAAAATGAAATCCCCTCGGAGATTGTTCGTGTTCATCGGCTGCTTATGGAAATAGCTTTTTGTTGCCTTTTTCTTCTTCTCGAGTTTATTCTTTTTTACTTCCCATTTTGGCCTGCAACATGTCCTCATAGTGTCCCATCGAAGTACTAGACACGTCATAATCAGCTTAATTTTGGAGCTTTAATCGGTTTTTCCCAATGCTCCAATTTGCACAAACCCAGATTGTAGCGGGAGAGCCCTATCAATCTCTAGTGGCACAAAAACTCCTTCAAGTTTCGGTGGATGATCTTTAAGCTAAAGATAATGTAATATAGTGGATATAATGACTATGTAAAAAGAATGTGCAAGGAAATTAGGGTTGTAAATAGGAAATCATATACGTTTATAGCACCAACGTAGTAATGTAAAATAAGAGATTAACTGTTATAAGTTGATGGGCCATCTGCTAAAATAAAGCCAGGTCATGGCACACACTTCAAAGTAAATCAGAAATCATGTAATTATGATGTCTGCCTGTCAAGAACAAAGAATCCTTATCCACAGAAGATATGTAGACTTGGATATCTTGTACAACTTGTACAACTTGTAACAATCCTGGCTAATTGGAAAGCTGATAAAAGTAATACGAGTTAGCCAACTTGCATACCTTAGCTAAAAGTTAGAAGTAGAGATTGCCCTGCAGCAAATCAAATGAACATTAGATAACTCCTAGGGATTTCATTAGCCAAGACCTAGGAATAGGGACAGTTAGAGACCAATAGAATAAATTGTAGAATTATTACTAAAATGCTTATTATTATTGTGCTTTGTCCCGCCTTCTCCTTTAGTGAAAAATGTATAAAATTTACTTAACCCTTTGTTCTGGGCTCTTGGCATTTTGACATGGAGTCCTTTTCCTTGGAGTAGTCCAATAAAAAGCAATTAGAAAACCTGCACCTCGTGCCTGGCGTTCATCATTGGCTTCGGCACCAGGCTCAGACCCGAATTGGGGACAACAAGTGATGTTATAGCATGTATGGCAAAATAACTGCCAGGAAAATTGTACTGTGTTTAATTGTTTTTAATGTTTATTCAATAAAATTTTAAAAAAACTTCAAGTTTCAAGAAAATTATAATTTCACACCAGTCTATCCAAATCTTTTTCTTTCCACCAAAATCAACTAGTAGGTTGTGCTATCTGCTGTGCCCCTCCTATTTCTAATTTCAGCCCTTGCAAGGTCACAAAAGAATTAGAAACATGATTGTAGTGGGTCAAGTGGAAATTTAATTCAAATAATAGGACTCATATATATATTGCCAAACAGAGGCATTGCCCCTCCGATGGAGGTGGGAAGTAGCATTAAGGAGGAAAGGAACAGAGGAACTTCTTGGTTATTCAAGTAAGTTTTTGGCTGAGGTGTCATGAGAAGCAGATGCTTAGAGATAGTGTTTCTCAACCTTAGCTATTTAAAATTGTGTGGACTTCAACTCCCAGAATTTATCAGCCCACATGCTGACTGGAGAATTCTGGGAGTTGAAGTCCACACATCTTTTTTTTAAAATAAACTTTATTAATTTTACAATTAAAATAGACAAACAACACATACATAAATGTGAGAAAGAAAAGGGAAACAAAGAAAGAAAAGTAGAAAGAAAAATCAGAAAACAATTAAAAACAGTTCCATCCTCGACAGTTTGTGGGACCTTATTTTCAACCTTATTTTATGCCCTCTGTACAATTCATATATAGTCACTACTACAATTATAACATAACTTCTTTTGCCCTTTATTGTTTAATCGATCTTTGATCTATCCATTCATACCAGTAGTTCCAGCTGTTGTAATACATTGATGTGTCTTTCCCTTTTAATGCCAAAGTTAATTTGTCCATCTCTGCACAACTTGATATTTTTTGAATAATCATTTCCTCTGATGGGATATGAGGTTGTTTCCAACATTGTGCAAAGGCCAGTCTGGCCGCTGTCAAAATATGTACTATTGTATACTTCACTATTTGGGGGAATTGTTTATTAAAGATCCCTAATAGAAAGAGTTCTGGTTTGAATTCGATCTGTTCTATTGTTATTTCTTCCAACCATTTTCTAATTTTCTGTCAATATTTTTGAGCCTCTGTATAAGACCACCACATATGGAAGAATGTTCCCTCCTTTTTTTTGCATTTCCAGCAAAAAAATCCACACATCTTAAAAGTAGCCAAGGTTGAGAAACACTAGGAAGACAGAATTGATATCACTGGGCCTGTGGGTTCAGGTGAAAGCCATAGAAAACTGGAAAAAGGTCAAGTTCCCAGGACACCTTAGTTTATTTATTTAAATTCTGGCTTCTTCAACTTTGAGTAGACTTACCTCTGCTCCAATTCAGTTTGTTTGCTCAGCTCCTCTTAAACCTACATATAACCTCCCCTCCCCTTAGTTGCCTCCCTTGACTTCAAACATAGTATACAATACATAACAATCTCTCTAAAGCAGGGGTGGGGAACTATGCCTCCCCCCCACTTTTTTTTTGGCAATCTGTGAACAACTCTCAGAATGGGCGGCTCAGGAATTCTGGGAGTTGAAATTCACAGGTCGTAAAAGGGCCATAGTTCTCCACCAGAGATGGTATTCAGCAGGTTCTGAACAGTTCTGGAGAACTGGTAGCGGAAATTTTGAGTAGTTAGGAGAACCAGCAAATACTGCCTCTGACTGGAGATTTTACAGTATCCTTCCCCTGCCACGCCAACCAAGCCATGCCCACAGAAACCGGTAGTAAAAAATTGTGAATCCCACCACTGTTCCCCACCCCTCCTCTAACATTTCAATGCCTTCATTTCTCTTCTTTCTCTTAGCTGTCTCTTCCAACAGCCTTTTGCATTATCTCCACCCTGAAACATTTTTTGCTTTGAACTTGTGTCTTCAAGAGTGATCTCAGACCTTGAATTCAAGGCTGCCTGGACTGAATGTATTGGTTTGAATGCAGGACAGCCCAAAGTGCTGGGAATGGTTTGTACGTACAATATTTTGAATATCCCTAGAGAAGAATTGCTAGCAAACACAGTCTTTGAAACTATTGCTGGTATTTTAAAATCTACTAGGGTCTTTTTACGGCTATTGTCTTTGAAGAGCAGAGGACAGGGAAGAGTGGATCATGTGGAGGATGGAAATGAACCATGGAGATTCTCCAAGCATTGGGAATGATGTTACAGGAATTAATCTGACATGATCTCGGAACCTGGGAGAATTAACTCAGCAAGGTCAAAAGACCTGGCCCTCTCCCTGCAGGAAGAAAAGAAAGGGGAAAATGTTGAGCTCTTTGATTCCACAAATGACATTCTGAAGATTTTTTTTTTTTTATGGTATAGAAAGAAAGAAACAGGGTGAGGGATCAGTATTGGGCTGCTGAAGATTAACACAGCATTTATTTGGATTTTGTGGTAGCTGAGCATTCTGGAAGTATCAATTCACTCACAGTGCAAAGGCCTGTCATCATCAAATGTAGGAATAGACCTTGGGCTTCCAAATTAAACTCTTATCAGCACTTAGATAGTCCTGCTATAACTTGGTTCTCCCAAGGTTGCTATGATTTGGGGCCAGGATTAGAAGCTAAGCATGTTTTTGGCAGAAAGAGGTTACCCACCTTAACTGCTTCTTTTTTTAGCAACCCAGCTGAAGCCATTGGCACTCTGTTGAGTAAATATTTTCTGAGAACATTCTCTATTTTTGGTTTGGTGTGTGATAATTCCTTTGGTTTGAATGTGTCCCTAAAAGTTGATTTAAAAAAAAAACTGTATTGCAATTTTATTTCTCTTGGCTTAAAATTATGATTGGATTGTGTATTCATAGTTAGTAATTTATGATTAAATTATGTACATTGCCATTTGTAATCAGGTGCAATTCTAGATTGTTTGGATATTGTTGCTCTAGAATAACGATTATGACAGAAAATGAGAAAAAAGACAACCGTTTGGCTTTAAAACACACACACCAAGTAACCAGACAGAATACAAAATATTTGGGGTTTATCATTTAAGAAACAATTATAACATATTCACCCCTCATCAAATTTAACATTTAATGTGATACTTACAATACCACATTTTCCTGCTCCAAACTCTACATATGTAGAGCCCTTTTAATCTATTTTCTCATTTATTTTTATTGAGAGCCACCCAGAGTTGTCTTAAAGAGGGGCGGCTATATAAATGTTCTAAATAAATAAAATAATATTATAATGGCTGCAAATCTTCATAGCACAGCTGCCCAAATACTGAAATCCTCCAGCATTGGAAACCATTGGAACCCTCCACTGGAAAATGCAACCTCTGGGCTCAACTGCCTGGGAGGCCTGTTGAAAATTGCTTAAAAAAAACCATTCCCAATTCTTTCTCATCACCCCTCCAATCAGCAACCCGTTTTGAGATAAAAAGATATTCATTTCTGCTGTCATGCAAGTTAATCCCCTTCATCTTGTCCTTGCTGTGAAATAATACACTTATTTTTGGATGGATTTGACTGAGATAAGCTGATTGTTAAATGGGAGTTCAGAAATATTCTTAGGAAAAGTAGATCTGTGGTATGCTATCCTATTATTTTTCTTAAATCAGGTTTAATCAACCATATCACCTCTCTATTAGCCATAGTGTCGCAGTGGTTAGAATGTAGTATTGCAGGCTAATTCTTCTGCAA